AAAAAAAAAAAAAAAAAAAAAAAAAGAAAAGAAATAAAGCAGCAGGGCAAGACACGTGATGCATACGTGTAATCCTGATACTTAAGAAGCTGAAACAGGAGCATCACAAGTTTGAGGCCAGCTGGGGGTATATAGCCATTACAAGGCCACTTAGAATACACAGCAAAACCCTGTTTTAAAAACAGCCATGTTTATAGCAGCACAGTTTGTAACAGCTATTAGATACTATGGAAACAGTCCAAATTAAGTCAGGTACAGTGCTGCATGCCTGTAACCTCAGGTACTCAGGAGACTGAGACAGCATGGTCACAAGTTTCAGGTCAGCCTGGGCAATTTAGCAAGATCCTGCCTCTAAGGAATAAATAAATAGATAGAGAGGCTAAGGATATAGCTCCATTAAGTGTGCTTGCCTAGCTTGTTTCAGGTTCTGGGTTCAATCTCCCAGTACAGGAGGAGGGAAAAGAAATTAAAAGACACGAGCTTTAGAATTTGACAGACATTATTTCTTGTCAGCACTCCATGGCTTGCTTTCCACACTGTCAAAACTAATAAACATTTTTAGAAGGTCTGTACTTTAAGTACATGCCATAACCCCAACAATCCCCTGCTTTCTAAAAATATATAAAGAACCAAGCGCAATGACCACACAGTAAATTTCTGTAAGTTTAAAAGGGACTAGACTAAAACACAGACTGCTTTATCTACTGTGGCCTCCTTATCAAGAGGGAGATAATGGTAATGACAATAAAGTGGTAATAAAATTTAAAAAGAACAATGAAACAGACCTATGGGCTCTGTTTAAAATTGAGACTCGGGCTCAAAACCAGTCTGACACTAGGTGAGTCACTTAACTCCTCTGAGCTTTGGTGCTGTCCTACACAGATAACACTTACCAATGGGGATCCAAATGCCACTACCTAACATAAAACTTTAGTGTGGGCAAACAAGATAATTGATGTAAAGCACTGAGCACAGTGTTTGGCACACTTAGAAATGCTTTGAAAGGTTTCTGGTTAGTGCAAAGACCCATGCTAAGCTCTGGACAGGTTGGGGAGTAAGAGAAATAATGTCTGCACTCAAGAAACGGGAGAGACCCGGGTGGCGCACACTTGTAATCCCAGCACTCGGGAGGCTGAGGCAGGAGGATCCTTGCGAGTTCCAGCCTGGGCTACAAAGTGAGCGCAAGGCCAGCCTGAATTGCATAGTGAGACCTTGCCTCAAAAAGACCAAAAAAAAGAAAGAAAGAAAGAAAGAAAGAAAGAAAGAAAGAAAGAAAGAAAGAAAGAAAGAAAGAAAAAAAGAAACCAAGGCACCATGCATGCTAGGCAAGAAATGGGAGAGAAAAAAATATCAGTGACACAAATAAACGTGACATTTTAAGTGGGAAAAGGAGCACATCAAACTGAGAAGTTAAAAAACATACATATTTAACTTTACCAAAAATAATTACCATATACA